CTCATTTGGGCTTGCTCAGCGCTTCCCCCGATTTCCCCGTCATCTCCCGGCTCTTCGGAGGGGCCGAGGCGCCGGTCTTTAGCTCCCCCCGCCCCACCCCCGCCGGGCTCGCCGCTCTGCGAAGTTGGTCCCAGATGCCCCCTCCGGTGTCTGATGCTCTGGAGCCCCAAGGAGATTCCCCTTTTATCCAACCAGGCGGCAGCCCAAGTGGGGTCAGAGCTGAGCAGCCAATCACTGGGGCCAGGAGCGATTAGGAATTCCAAAAAGCTGGCAGCGCCAGGGGCCTGGGCGCTGGGGGCGGGCTGCCCAGGGGCAGGGTCCCAGGGCCTCAGCTGGGACAACAGAGTCAAGGCCCATCCGGGAGGTAGGGTGGGGTGGGATTCTGGCAGAGCCTGGCTGGGACTTGGCCCTACAGTGGGTGGGAGGATGGGCTGGGGCAGATGTTGGAGCCCTGACCCGGCCGGCAACTCTTTTGCAGGTTGGAAGGGTCTAAGAAAGCCCAAATGTAGGACCCCTGTGTGACAGGCAGAACAAGGGAGGGGAAGAGCCCTGGTCAGGGTTGTGGGGACAGTGGGGGGTGGGGGAGAAGGAGCTGGGGTGTGAAGAAAGCTCAAGGCTTCTCTCCCAAACCGAACTCTAATTCAGAAGTGCTACTCAAGAAATATTGGCTCCATGGATAAATGAATGATAAGAGGGTCAGGAATGGGGGTCCCCGTAGGAGAGAACAGTGGTGACTTCTTTTGGATAACAACCCTGGATGTCTGAACATCTTCTAGAGTAAGCATGAAGTGTGCCCAGCTTCCATGGAAGGACTCCATTCATTCATTCATTCATAAATTCATTCAACTAACGTATATGGAGCACCTTATTAGGTCTAGGAACGAGGGTTCTGCAGTAAAACAGACAGGCAAGGCGAGGGGTCTGCTGTATCTCAGAGTTCACTGAGCAAGCAGAATAAAGAGGACGAGGCTGTTGTGGATGGGAAGGAGGAGGGAGGGCGTGAGAGGCAATGAAAAGGTGCGCTTCTATCTCCAGGTGGTGGAACGCCCTTGCCTAACTCCTGTGTTGAAAGCTGCAGACTTGCAGCCAACTGGGCCAGTTGAGAGGCAGAGAGGCAACAGGAAACTGCGTTAGGCAGGGCGGCCCTCACCTGGAGAGAAGAGACAAGCCCGAATTCCAAAGGTGGGCAGTGGAGCTTCTGGTCTCCTGCTTGAGGGCTCTGAGGAGCGCGGCCT